GCCAAGGGAGTTGATATCAAGTTTCGAATGCAAAATGCGACCGCTATGCGAGGCGCGGCGCGAGACCCATAATGTCGTGCAGCTCGGACAAGAGCGCGTCGTACGTCTCTCTTCGGCGCACGACGATCGGGTCGTTCAAGGCATTCCCCGATTGACTCTCAACGTACTTGAGGTGGCGCGCGGCCTGCTCGAGCTCGTAGTCGCCAAGGCGCGCGTTGGCATCTTCCAGCATGCGGTGGAGCTCGTCGACTTGGTGCTTGAGCGCGTCGACCTCGTCACAGGACGATCCGGACGAGAGCGACGACGAGAGCAGCGACGTGCGCGCGCTGTGCACACTCGTGTGCTCGTACTTGGTGCAAAAGTCATCGGCAAACGACTCGAGCCGCGTTGCGTGGTCCGCGCGCAGGTCGTCCTCCCCGTCACCTTCGTCCCCTTCGCGCACCATCTTACGAGCTTGGCGGTTCGCTGATGCCTCCATCGCGGCTGTCGATGCTGGCGCCGGCGAAATCCCGGCAATGGCGAGCTTGATTGACGAAATGCGAGCAACGAGCTCGTCCAGCGGCACGACGCCACGACTTGTCTCATCGATGACTTCCGGGATCGGTCGCATGGCGCGCTGGGAAGGGTACAAGTCTTCCAGCATGGCACGCATGGGGAGCCCAAGCGACGCCTTCTTGGTCGTCGGTGGCGGCAGCTGCAGCTGCATGTCCTCTAGGAGAACGATACTCTTGCGGCGCGTCGGTGGGGGTGGCCGAACGGCGTTGGCTTTGCTAATGCACACGTTGCAAAGGCGGACAGGCAGGAGCCCAAGCACGGGCACTTCCAGCGTGTGGTGGTCGGCGCAGGACGCGCAAACAACCTCGCCGCACGACCGGCAATGGTGCTTGCGGCGAAAGTGAAAGGATTGCAGACAGACAGCACAGAACTTGCGCTGATTGTCGGGCACCCAGAGCGCGCGGTCGGCGATCGGCAGCTGGCTCAGTCGGCGCTGCGCGATCAGCGGGCCCAGCGTGTTCAAGCACGAGAAGCGCTGAGCGAGCGCACTCTCCCACTTGTCCATGGGCACGTCCCGCGGCGACGACGACGACAGTAGGTACGTCACGTGCACCATATAGGGCGACGTCGATGACGGCACGATCAGAAACCCGGTGCGTCGCATGCTGTCGCGACGGTAGCCAAACGTGCTGAGCGACGGCACTTCGCGCGGCCGGTCGATCGAGTGGTAGACGCAGAAGCCAAGTGGTGGCCCACCGCTAAGCGGCGTTTGGAGCCCGGCGTACTCGAGGAGGCAGTAGTCGCGCCCGAGCGCGGGCCCGACGTCGTCCTTGAAGGCGGCCCACTTGACGCGAAGCTCGTCGTTGGCGGCATCGCTCGCTACCGAGGCAAGCACGAGGCCATCAATGTACTTCTTGGCATGCACCCGGTGCATCCAACGTCGCGACTCGTCCGTCGTGCTCGGCGCCAAGAGGGCGAGGACCTCGGGAACCGTCGCGCGGACGTTGATCGCACCGCGCATGACGAGGCAGGGCGTGCCGCCACGGGCATCGAGCTCGTCCTGCTCGATGCAGTGCACTTTGCCAATGAGCAAGCCATCGCGGCTCTACGCAAGAGACGCTTGCGACTTGCACATCGGGCACGGGCTCGTGTACCTCGACGCGCTTCCACGCATACGTGGCCATGGCATGCTGGAGGTCGTCGAGGGCGTAGCGCGCCAGTTGGCGGTACGCGCTTGCATCCGCGCTCGTGATGGTCGTCGTCGGGAAGAAGGTCGGCTTGACCGGCACCTCGAGCATCTTGCGCCGATATGTCGGAAGCTATTCTTGCTTCAGTTTCGCGACCGAGATCGATCGGGCACATCATTTTATTGGTTTCTGGTGCGTACATAGGATATTTCTATCGTGAATTGATTGTCCTGGATTGAATTGCGCCCACCAGCTGGCCAAGTTGCAGCTCGAGATTGCAGCTGACCACAAACAAAACGGCGCCGACGTCAGAGTCGCGTAGACAGGGCAACGTACTAGTACAGCGAGCGCACTGTCGGCGGCCAACATGGCGGGCAGCATGGCTAGCTTCAAGCTTTGGTGCTCGCGCCATGGCGCAGGCGACGCTCTTCCAACTGCGATGCCACCTGGATACAGCGGTGGGCCGCGATGGGCACGCTCGTTGAGATGAGATGCAGTGAGATCCGTCAAGTCGGTCCTTGGTTGACGGTTGGCCTTGAACGAAGACGCGGCCGATCGCATCCCATCTGGTTCGTATCTGCCGCCGTTGTGATGGTCCTTGGGTCCAGCGACGCGTCGATGCGGCTTTTCATTACCCTGGCGTAACCTCTTCAATATATATTGATACATACGAGAGGCAAGGCGTCAGACGACAGCGACGTGATGTGGCAACGGCTATAAGCTGATTGGTACGACACTACGAATGGCAGCGGGAGTCGTGCTTATCGCTGTGGCGGACTGCTGGCCTTGCTCGACTTTTGGCGCGACTGGACTTGCTCCAAGTCGAGTTCGCGCCGACGGATCTTTTTCGAGACCCACGGATTCTGGCCCGTTTCGGTGCGCGATGGGTCGCGCCGGACGTCGGGTAAGACCCCGATTGTGCTGGGCGCGGCGATCCATGTGTCGGGCGACGACGTGAGCTGCGGAAACCACTCCTTCCGCAGCGCATCCTTGGCCTCGTCGGTCAAGTCGCCACGAAGCGCGGGAAACCAATCAATGAGTCGCTGGCACACGAGTGCCGTCGCAACCGAGAGGTTTAAGCTTTCGCTAAACCCGACCTACGCGGTACTGCAACGTGCGGATGGGCCGTGACGACGGTGCCTACCGTCGGAAAGTAGATGCGGCGGTCGGCTTCGTGCAGCATTTCTTGGCTCACGCCGTCCGTCTCGCGCCGATCACGATCGCGACGCCCTCCGGAGGGATCGTCAGCGTTGCTTTGTTCTCGGCGGTCAAGGCGACGGCTTCCTTGGAGAGGTCCGTCGCTAGTATCTCGTGGTATGCAATTTTTCGATGCCGTTGGCGGCGGCGTACCCCAAATGTGGCGTCCGTCACGGCGCAAGGCCGCAATGCAGTCGGCAATGGTGCCAAAGTGCGTCACGGAAAGCCACGTGCCGCAGTTCTTGGAGACCTTCTTGGACCCGACCTTGTGGCGGTTCTTGATCTGCTCGTTGTTGGGATCGATGACATAGATCGTTTGGATGCCAAGCGCTACGCGTGTCGCAGTGAGTCTCTTCTTGCAGCGCGACAACACAATATATAGAGGCACCTTCGGCCGTC